GTTATATATATATATAACTGATTATACGATAACTGGTTTCTTTTTTTATTATAATTAAAGAACAATAATCCAGAAAAGTAAGAAATCATATCGTAAAACATGGTAATCGAATTTATGGTTACACAATTGAAGTTTTTTTATTTTTCCAAGACTGTTCGTTTTAGTGTGGTTGAACCTGTTTATAAAAAGTGTACACCAAATTGAAAACTGGTGCTGGAGATTTCGAAATATTTGACATAAAGATTCTCTGGTTCTCGACTCTAAATCTAAAACAAGGTATCATCTCGGAGTTCTTTGGTGTTCCAATAAAGTTTTCTTCTTTTTTAATAACGGAATTATATTATTTTTGAAAAGCTGTCTTTGTAATCAACTATGAAGGCAGACTGAAAACAAATAACTAATGCATACTTGAAAAGAGGGATAACTAAAGTACCGACGGCTCAACAGTAAGTTTGAAGGCTTATAACCACTACAAATCGGGATTCAATATCCGCAGTGGGCAGAGCATCCATAGCTCATTGTGTAACTTCGCACTTAAACACAAACTATAGTAGTTACGCTGTTAAAGAAATTCGATAATATCGTTCCACAGGAGTAAAATAAAGTAAGGTCTATTTTGCAAGAGCGGTCAACATTCCAGGTTTATTTAGCTCTCTTTTACCGATACTTTGCAAGTATTTATCGCTACTGTAACAATATGTACCATAGTAGCAATAGTTTAACTTAGTCGTTCAGAAATCGAACGTTTTGCCACTAATTGACAAACCACACTTTTTATTTCATTATTCATGATAAGGACTGAAATTCTTAATCTAAAAAATGTCGGTATCACATGGGCATCCAAAAATATTGGTTGATGTTGTGACACAAAGCTATACAATGGACTATCCGTGTTCTGTCCACCGCGGGAAATAGAACCCCTGATTTTAGCGTTGTAACGCATACAATAAATGATTTTTGCTCATATGTGTAATTTACAGTATAGTTTACTAAAAAATGAAAATACATAAAAACAACAATTTTCGTGATTTTAAACTTACCTTAGTTGTGTTTTTGTTGTTGTTATCAACAAAACTAATGCCGTTAGGTCATTTATTGGTTAATTTGAAGACTATTTAATTAATGATTTTTTACATTCTGTAAGTCGTGACATTTCTGCTTTCTGACAGAAAGACGTAAGGCATGTGGGTGGGACGAAAAGCAAATCAAACAAGTCCCCCCCCCTCAGTGACACAGCGATATGGCTACGGACTTCTACCACTAGAAACCGGATTTCGATGCCCGTGATGGGCAGAGCATAGATAGCCCTTTGTATAGCTTTGTGTTTAATAACAAACAAAAACATCAAACAAGTCCCAGTATTGAGTATCGGTGAGTACCGGAAGTTTGAGTATACAAATAAAGTTATTCTATTTACAGCAAAGTGCCAGCGAACGGTCTATCTACGTGTGTCCACTAGTAGAGTTCTCAGACTGATCAGCATACATTCTGTCACTTTCTCTCAGAAGTTGGCATCAGGCACAATGCGATCGTTTCGTTTCAAGAGCATGCGTCAGAAAATTAAAATGATGAAATGTGTTTTTGTTATACGTCACATATTTATCAAGACACACGAATATGATATTAAAGCACTTAATAAAAGTACATTTTAGAATTATATTATCTGTTTAAAACACACACACACATTTTCAAAAGCTTATCATTTACACAATGAACAATGAAGGTCGCTTTTGTTTTAGCTAATCGTGTTGGCAGGATAGAAGGTATGCAAGGCATTATAAAATACAAGGTTGTTAGTACTGTAGTTTGGTTAGAAAGACAATAGATTAATAAGATATCCGATGTTAAAACTTGTTTTAATGTTATAGATTTTAATTTGGTACTCAGTTGATTTTTTCCCCTTTGCTGCTTAATTTTTAAAAAATGAGTTGCGTATTTTCTCTCGCTAATATATGCGTATTCAATTTGGTACTAATGTCAGTAGTCTCAAAAAATTAGTGCTGTATATATTTTCTTTATTCAAAAATGGCATTTAGCTTTGAATATGAATCTTTATCCTGACTGTTATATCACACATATAACAAATTTTAGCAAAATTCCGGCACTGTAAAATTTAACACTATACCATGTACAGGTATCATTTCACTCCTATTCATTGCTCAAGTACCTAATCGGCTATCGCAAGTCAAGTCCTCAATTCATTTATCTACTACACAAACATCATACGAAACAAAAATATTATATGTTAATGTACATTATGAAATTAGCCATTAAAAGTTTATTTTTATGAAGTATTTGTATGGATAAAAATTCAGATATTTATTTTTAAAGTACATAAACGTTTCACTTAAAAGTCGTGCCAATTAGTTGATTACTATATAACTTTGCGTATTCATTTTTCGAAACAGTTTGTTTAGAATTAAGCACAAAGCTACACAATGGGCTATCTGTGCTCTACCCACCAAGGGCATCGAAACCCGGTTTCTAGCGTTGTAAGTCCGCAGACATACCGCTGTGCCACTGGGGAGCATTTCGAAACAGAATAGACAAACCAAGTAAAGTTGCATAAAAATAAGCAAAGCTAACCTACCTTCAGTTGACGAAAGTTTCACAGTTGATAATATATTTAAAGGAGGAAGTCACTATGTCAAAAATACAAGACACGGATTGTAACTTCATAAGCGCAGGTTATATACTTTACTGATTTTATTCACAACGTTACGGAAAAGAGAGAACGTCATTACTCCCACCATGTCTAAAAAATAAACTTGGTTGTTACAATCTACTGAGATATTTGAATATAACGATTTTAATTATGATTGTTGATCGGCTATTCTAAACTAGTGTAAAGAAGTGTTTTCCAACATGCAATCATTTGTCATATCAACCTCGACTTCTCTATTGTTAAAAACATTATTTTACGCTAGTTTAGAATAGCCGATCCAACATGCAATCATTTATCATATTTCTCGTTTGTAGTACATGAATACGAATGTTGGTATCTTTAAAACATATTTCCGTAAATATATAGTCCAATGCCAACCATGTAAAATTTCGATAACTTAAGAAAGTTATGACTATGAAACTTATGGCATAGAAATGTGTACCCTCTCTCTCCTAGACTGCTGAAATAAAAATAAAAAGCTAATTCAGTTTAATTTTGAAACATTTGCTGTTATTTACAAATTATTACACTTCTTCTTCTTTCCTATAGGATTTGTTTATTGTTAAGCACAAATATACACAATGGGCTTTCTGTGCTCTGCCCACTGCAGGTATCGGACGCCAATTTTTAGCATTATAAGCCCTCTGAATTACCGCTGAGCAATCGAAGGGATTTTTAAGATTATATACGAAGCTGGATAAAAAATGTAATAATTTGTCTTGACAATTGATATTGTGCTCATATTAGATCTTAACGGTGAAGAATAAATAGCTTTTTCTAGAAAACGAATCAAGACAAAGTTTATGCAACAAAACTATTTATTTTCACACATTAGAAACTTATTAACGAATTATCCAACTCAAAGTTGGTTTTATATAGGTATACTGCTATGTAACTTTCTGTAGAAACGAAATAAGAGAGACTCTTCTTGAATCATGAGTCTATTTAAGTAAGTTTCTTACTTGTTGAAAGAGGAACTGTATTTTTGTTGGCCAATAGACCTTTGTGACTAAATAATGCTACCCTACATCATTTTCAGTAAAAAAAGGTTTGTTGCTCTCTTACATATTGAGAAAAAATACTGAAGTGTTCCAGTAAGTTGTATTAGATCTGGAACCAATAGAATACCAGACAGAAGATACCTTTAAAAAAGCTTTTGTCAGATATCCGTTCTGTACTGTATAGAATTCCTAGTGTTAGTATAGAGGTTAATTGTTATATATCATTTATCGATAATTGTACAATGTTCAATAGAAAACTGTTTTTACAAGTGAAGTAACTACCAGAGGTGGGAAATTAAATTATAGTTTTTAACATTGTTTTAAAGCTTACCGGTAAATCGTGTAAAAACTACAAATGTTCTATATCAATAGCTTATATTACCTTGTTCTAATATATTATTTTTCATGTTTTCTTCTGAAAATTATTCTTGTGGCTTTGGTTATCAATATTTCGAGAATTGTGATCCAGAAATTCAGAAGTTTATTTTAGTTACTTCTAGATTAAAACAAGAGTTTAAAATACACTTTTATTATAGTAGACATAATTTATTATTTTCAAATGCAATGGTTTAATTAATACACTGGAATTAAAAGTTAATAATGTGCAAATACGATTCAGTATTTAGTAATATATAAGATAACATATTATTATGAATGAATTCTAAATGGGGAAGATCTACTTAAAAAATAAATATAATAGTATCACAGAAGATTATTATTGACTTACATACATTGAGTTTTAGTTTTAATTTATACACGATGCTATCAGCTCTAACTTGACTAGCACAATTTTTCTATGTGCTTTGTGTGTTTACGTTACCTGACACTAGAGGGCAGGGTCACCATTCGCGCGAATGAAAAACCGTAGGTTTCATTTCAGGTAACGTTCCACTGAAGTTTGTGTCCTTCTATGATGACAAGACGACTTGGACTTGACTTCGTAGATTCAAGTTTCGCTGCGTCTACCAAGGCATAAACTCTATTGCTTTGAATTTAACAACCGCCCGATTATTTAGAAAGACTAGATAACTCTGTGTAAACATCAAAAAAGAAAAATCTCACCATATTTTAGTTTGGAAAATCAGTTCAAATAAAAATGAGCTTTGAAGATTCAAAATTAGAAGAATTATTACCATACGACTTAAACATGACTATAGGAAACGAAACGTCGATGGCTGTAAACATTACATTCGGTGACGATGATGGCAAACATCTACCAGCCTCTAAGATGACAATTATATCATTATCTGTCCTGTTTTTCGTCATTGGGTCGGTTGGTCTTGTAGGAAACTTTTTGGTGATATACATGATTCTCAGCGACACGCGCATGCGCAGTTCCATGACCAACCTTTTTATCATGAATCTTGCTATTAGCGATTTTATCATCATGATTGTCTGCGTTCCTGACATTATCCAATTTATGGAAAATAATGGCTGGCAACTTGGTCTAACTTCCTGCAAGATCATCCGCTTTTCAGAGGTTTCGGCTCTGTACGCCTCCGTGATGACTTTAGTCAGTGTCTGTGTTGAAAGGTGAGATAAAAAACTGTTTTGTCTATAAAATTCAAACTATTAGGAAAAGTAATTGTTGAAAGTGTTTTCGATTCAAAATATCGGATATGAAAATAATTAATTGATTTTTGTTATGATTGCTGGATAAAATCCAAATATTTAGATACCAGGATTTGTTTGTTTCTATCAGAATGGTATATATAAATATAATGAATACTGGAGTTAACCACACAAACATTATAATGAACAAACAATTGGTTTTAGAAATTTTTTACATTGTAATACATGTATTAGTTGAAAATTATGCCAGAAACCTCTCAGATACTCGTTATAACATATATATATATATATTTTAATGTATGAACAAATATTATTTTTGTGCGTTGAGCCTGAACATCCAAAGTGTAAACACAAAAACGCCCCCAGTGGTACAGCGATATGTCTGCGAACTTACAACGCTAGAAACCGGGTTTCGATACCCGTGGTGGGCAGAGCACAGATAGCCCATTGTGTAGCTTTGTGCTCTACTACAAACAAACACAAAAACAGTAAGTTTGTATTAATGACGATAAATTTGAATGTTTTGTTGTACGGTAGTAAAGAAAATAAAAAATAGTCAACCGGTGGAACAGCGAAAAGTTTATGTACTTGCAACGCAAAAATACAGGGTTCGAGTCTCCGCGATAGACACAGCAGATAACTCAGTGTGGCTTTGTTCTAAAAACAAACAAAACAGATAGGGCTTTGTGGTTAATTACAAATAAGGTAAAAACAAACAAATAAACAGAATTTAAACGATGTTTGTTGAAAACAGAAATATGTTAGTCTTCAAGGTTATAAATAGGGCATGTTATAATCATTAGCGAAAAAATGTTATTTTCGTAATGAATAAATGGTAAATGTACACTTGTTAGAGTGACTGCAGTGAACATTAAAATACAGAATTTGTATTTTTTGAATTTTTTTATTGTTGTAGAAAATGACATGATATGATGGTGTTTATAAACTTTACAATGATCTAGATATTTAAAAGCTATATGAATTTATGAGTTAGAATTTCACATAAACACTTTAATTCAGAGATTATATAAAATATTGAAAAATGTTTCAACTCTGTGCAGCAAAAAAACAAACTAAAAACCATTATAATCTTTAGTAGCTGAAGTTAAGGGCGTAAACTGAACTAAAATCAAAATTGACCTTTATAAGAAAGGCTAGAGTGATGAAACAAAACGTAATGATTAAACATACTGAGTCGCACGGGTTCCTATGAATAGCTCATTATAGCGCTATAATTTGTAGGCAGTAGCCGACAACGTTTCACTAGTCAAATTGACGTTTTATCATCACACATCCTATCAAAACAAGAGCCAATCTCAGCCTCATTCGGCATTGTACACCACACTAATCAAATTGCCGAGTGTGTCATATTATATATTAAAAGATTAATAAAGCTTTTGATAAATAATAAATTATCAATTATAGCATATTTTTTTGTTATATTAAATGCCCCCTATGTATGTCTGCGGACTTACAACGCTAGAAACCGGGTTTCGATACCCGTAGTGAGCAGAGCACAGATAGCCCATTGTGTAGCTTTGTGCTTAATTACAAACAAACAAACTGTTATACTAATGTGAGATTTTAAGAGTGACATCTATGAAGAAATAAAGATATAAATAAGAACCTGACTTAACGTTGCGGCCATTCGTCTATAACAGTAATATTTAAGAAAATATACAAATATTCTACGAACTTTATTGAATACTTCTTTCAGTATGAGCATCCACCTCCTTGGTGGTTCAGCAGTTAGCTTGACGGTTTATAGTATTAAAATTCAGTGTTCGATTCCTACAATGGACACATTGGAAATATCCCATTGCGCAGATTGGGGAAATACAAATATTTAATTCTAATTAATATCAAGTGAATAAGTATATAGCATCGGATTCTTGGGATTTGGTGTTCCAACTTATTAAATCACTCTTCATTTAACAAATATGCACCATTTTTCGTACCCTTCCACCAATACCATTTATATCTACCCCAAAACTTTCTAAGTTGTGGTTGTTTTTGAACAAAAATGCCTTGAGTTTCACAGTAACTTGAGATACCAGGAATCCTATTGTCATGAACGCCCACAGAAATGGAGGGAGGCAAAACCTATGTACAGGATAAGCTTTTACAATGCAAGTCAACAGACTAAAAGGATGTGTGTTATGTGATTAAATGATTGCTTGTTTGTTTTGAATTT